TATAACTGAGAGAAGAAAGAACCCCAAAGCATTCCATCTCCACTTCCAAGCATTCCTTCCCCTACTAAGAAAACTAACTTGCCAACACGCATAAACCAAGCGTGGCAGTTTAATGTCTTAAATCCCAAAAGTTATTTCCAACACCCCCAACCAAGGTAGTGGTTGGAACAGGTTTGGAGCAGAGTGTGCTAAGAATCCCCGGAAAAAATAAGGCGACTACAAAGACCTCCAAATGCATATTACTTCATAAAATTTTAGAACTCTTATATCAGACCAGTAGATGAGAAAACTGGAGGTAGAGCTGAAAAAAATAAACTGGGATAACATTAGCCTCAGCGAAACAAGATGAAGAGAAAAAGCCCAAACTAGTAAAAGAAAAGTAAAAAAAAATAGTTGAAATCTCATCTTCAAACTAAATTAATTACTATTTAACTGGGAATAAGCCACAATTAAAGATAAAAAAATACGTTTATTGACGTTTCAATTTCCACTTCGGAAATCATCCTCAAAATACAAACACTACATTAAACAAATTTTGTTTGTTGTTACATAGTGCATATGAATTTGAAAATGCGTTGTGTTTGTAAGATCGAAAGGAGAAGTCCAGTTTTGAAGACCGTATGTTAGAAAAGTAACGCAGGTTGTGTTAAATGTTAAAAGAGTTATTAGGAGAAGAGTGGAACGGGTGTTAAATGTTAAAAGTGTTATTAGCAGAATAGGGGAACGGGTGATAGACCAAGTAGAGAGGTTCTTTGGAAAACTCCTTGGAGTCAGATGTGTCCAGTTGTGTAAGTAACGAGAAAAAGTTTGTTTAAATTTGTGGCACTGAGTCGATAAAAGAGATCCTTGGGTCATAAAAAGTAAAACTGATTAAAAAAAAGGTGAAGAATTGCACTAGGAGAAGATAAGAACGAGTACTGTGGGAAGCAGTGAACAAGAAGGAGAGCAGTAAATAAATAAATAAACAAATAAATGCACGAACAAATACTTACCATGTCGGGATAGTATTATGAGGTTTTTTCCTGATTTTTCCCTCATAATTTACTATGGAATCACTAACAGGAGAATTTTACTGTCATCATGTCATGTGTTTGTCTTTTTAAAGACGAATTACATGCTATGATTTTTTTCTGACAGATATTCTCAAGTTAAAGTTGATTTCATGTAATCGAATGAACTATCTTATAAGTAAAGTCGTCCCAGGAGCGCAATTCAACAATATTGGCAATATCATTTTAATGTCGTCTACTTTAAAATGCATAATGTATGTCTGAATTGTCAATATAAATGAGTCAGATAAAATTAAATTATTAGAAGAATTTTTCACTATGTAACAAAAAACAAAATTTGTTTAATTTACTGTTTGTATTTTGAGAACGATTTCCGAAGTGGAAATTGAAACGTCAATAAACGTATTTTTTATCTTCAATTGTGGCTTATTCCCAGTTAAATAGTAATTAATTTAAAATGCCACAAGAAAATAGCTTCAGAACAATTTCAAACTAACTGCAAGATATAAACTGAAGTTATCCAAACATGCTCCAATGACTGCCCACTCGGATGAAAAAATTGAAAAGTTTTATGACGACCTAGAAACAGTGTGACATGCCACAGCAGTATATTATACAATGATTATTTTTTCTTCTTCTTCTTCTTTTGAAGTTGACATGATTCTGTCTGTTTTTGAATATACCTTCAGTAAGTTGTCGTTCTATCGTTTTTATGATATTTACTTTACTACTATACTTCTTTTTAGAATAGAGTCTTTACTACTCTATCTGTTGTCAATTGGCTTATATGATCATTCCATTCTACTCATCAATTTCTTTATGTTCTCCACCTTGCATCTACATTGTATATATGTACTTCTAACTCTGTCCCATTGTGCTTCACCATAATTTTTTTAAGTGTTATTATCTCTGCTATTTCTAATATTCTTTTTATCTTTTCTGTGTCAATTTGTATTTCCGCCGCGTATGTAATTATTAATCTGATGACTGTTGTAAATTCTGCCTTTAATTTTTTTCCCAATATTTTTATTTCCCGTATTGTTTAATTAAGGCAACCTGCCGCTTTTTTGCTTTATGAAATTGATCTTCCACTTTTGTTTCAAGCTTTTTGTAGTTAGATAATGTGATGGCTATATATCTAAAATCCATCACTTGTTCTATATCTGGTTTTTCAGCTTCCATTTACATCTTGTTTAATTATCTGGCGGCTATATTAAATATAACCGACAATAATTCTGAGCAACTTAATTGCAAAAATGGGAATTTAACAAGATGATGCAAGAGTCGCCATGGGTAAGTATGGATATGGCGAAAAAAATGAACGAGGGCAAAGATTACTGAACTTTTTATTCCAGGAAAATTCATCCATGATGAACTCTTTTTTACATAAAAAACCTCAGCGTAGAAAGCAAGAGAACATAAGTTTAAAACTTTTGAGCTAAAATATAAACAACATAAGCAACAAAAATATAAAATAAGAAACAAAGATAGAAACATTACTTACAACAGATAGAACCAAAATGTTTTAAGTTCTTGCCCTGCCCAGAATTATAAACCAGGGATCAGAATTAATAGAAATCAAAAAAATTTTCATACGAACTCAAAAAGAAAACTTTAAAAGGCACTTTAAAAAAGAAAATTAATAAATCCGAGTAGTGATCGAAGTGATCAAACTAGTTGAAAATAAAATTATCTAGGCTTTGGCCAAGCTTTTCACCAAATGTATCTACCAAGGAAAAACTCCTTCTTAATGAAACAATCAAGTCATTGTTTTATTACACAAACCAAGAGACATAACAGATTCAAAAACACGACTAGATGCTAAGTTAGACTTCTATCAGCCTCAAGAACAAGCTGGATTTGAATCGGAATACAGCACTAACGGCCACTTACTAGTGATAAAAAAACCAGATATAGAAGTCTGTAGAAGACAAAAATCCATTGGCACTGATATTCGATACCAAAGCTAGCGTAAGACTATCTGAACAAGAAAAAAATAAATTCTGCATACATGCAGAGCATAGTATAGATATAAATGAAGATAAGCTCAGTCATTTAAGATTTGCAAATGATATCGTCCTTATAATCAATCGTATGCATGATGCAACAATACCGTTTAAAAAACTAGATCACGCTTCTTTGGAGGTCGGACTAAAGATTAATATGAACAAGATACAAATAATCACTAAACTGGTGCTTAATCGAAGAATTGCTGTTGATGGAAGGGATATTGTGCAGACTGTGACCAGACCAGACATGTGAGCTCCCACGTCGCATAGAATTAGGCTGGGCAGCGTTTGGTAAATTAAACTTTGTATGTAAATCGGACGAACACATATGCCTCAAAAGGAGAATTTTTAAACAATGTGTGTTACCTCTACTTACTTATGATGCAGAAACATTAATACACAAAAGGTAATGAATAAGATTGGCGTGACTCAGAGGGTTGTGGAGCGCCAGATATTGAGTGTCTCTCTGATAGACCGAATCCTAAACGAAGAAATACGTCGCAAGACAAAAATAAACAGACTCTATCCAAAAAATTAAGTTGCTGAAATGGAATTGAGCAGGAGACGTCACCATATTATCAGACAATCGTTGGAAAAACGTATTGTCGAGTTGAGATCAAGACTAGAAGCACTACGGAGCAGAAGACAACAACCAGATAAACTGACGATCTGAAGCATGTTAGCAGTAACTAGATGCAAGCCGCACACGATAGAGAAAGATGGAAAAAGCTGAGGGAGACCTATGTCCAGCAGTGAACGAATACAGGTTGATGATGATGTTAATGATGATAGACTAAGAAAATAAAATACAATAATTAAACGTAAGTACAGATAGATAAAAATACAAAAAAATAAGAACTCCAGGATACGCTAAAATAACTAAGAAATGCCAAAGCTGTTGGAATTAATAACCTACGAATAGATTTAATACAGGCTGACCCAAAATAGTAAGTCAAAATGCTACAGAAATTATTTAAAAAGATGATCTGACGTTGAACGTACAAACGGATAGAGTGTTTGTGTAACAGTAATACCAAGTACACTAAATATCATTAAAACTCCTGAGGTTCACTTCTAAATTATTCTCAATGAATTGAATAAATTGAAGCTGAAAGTAAACAAAAATTTAAAAAGCAACCAAGCAGGATTTCCTTCAACATGATCCGCTATCGATCACAACTGTACACTAAGAATTGCCTTGCAACTAGTAAGCGAATAAGAAAAGAACAAATGTAACAAACAATTTTTATTAAAAAAAAAACCGTTTATAAAAGAATATTAATTTATACTAATATACCTTTTATAAAGAAATTTGTTTAAATACATATTTTCGTGATTCATGGTTTACAGCCAGAAACAGGAATTCACTTTCCTTGTGGATAAATGTAAAGTTGAAAAAGCCTTTGACTAAAAAAAATACAAAACAAATAGAAGATTCTGAGACAGTCTGAACTAGCGACAAAGTATTTAAACCTAATTAGATTATTCTATGAGGTATGCAGAGATAGACCAGAACCTGCAGGTGAAATAGCCAAAAACATATTCACACAAAGCGGCGTTAAGTAGTTTTGCCTAAATGCAAGAACAAGACGAGACTTAGACTAGACAGTCTTGGTCTTGGTCTTGCGCCAATATACCTGGTCTTGGTCTTGGTCTTGGTATTGTACTCCCGGTTTTGTGTCTTAATCTTGGTCTCGCAGAAAGAGTCTTGCAAGAGTCGCAGGTACCAATTAGCCTATTGCTATTTATTAAACGTTACTTTATCTGTTTCTTAATAAAAGTGTTCATTTAATAAGCTTAACCATCTGGCTGACTCATCACTTAACATATTTTTATGTTTTCTAATTACCAATAATGCTTTAGAAAATACTCTTGCAGCAGGTACTGAAGTTTCAGGTATTGAAAGAAAATCATGAACCATCTTTGATAAAGTCGGATATTCTGTTTTAACGTTCTCAACGATCTGCGTTCTCCACTACTCTTAAATGTCTTCCGAGCTGGCGGCTCTGGGTTTACTTAGGTACTCCTCCAACTCGTCAATAACTAAGCCTTGACGACAAGATTCAGATGAAGTCAAGGAGAATGCATACAGTTTCTCAAAGTCTATTAAGTCTTTATCTTGATCATAGTTAAATCCTTTCTTTTCATTACTTGGTAATTCTAAAGATTTATTCACTAAGTGTAGAGTTTTATATGCTTTATAAAGTTCATTAAATTTGCGCAGGCTTTCTGTTTTAATTTGTTTCCCCCATAATATCATGTCAAAAGTCTGAGCTTTATGCCTTGGGTCTAAAATTAAAAATATATAATTAATCTAGCTCTTCTTATAATGTTTAAGCATTTTGTCTCCAGCTGCTTGAAAACTCAGAATGAGCCTTTTATCTACTTCAAATCAGTTCGGATTGACTTCTATCTACTTCTACTTCGGATTCAGTTTTATATGAGCAAGAGATTGAATGATACAATGACTAGTGGTAGTGGTAACATATTTTTTTTTTCACCAAGTCTCTTTGACACAAGTTTATTAGAAACTTATGTATTTTCAAGTATTTTCCATTCACTATCTGTGATTTAAAAATCATTCAATTCGGCGACAGATGTGCACAATATGTTAATGCAAGATCTCACTTTTAAATCAAATCCAATCATTTGTTTGAAATTTCATCTCGTTGGACAGTCCGGTATGGAATATTTTGATTCGCTATGTATGTTTATGGTATTGTTCGTATTGCGTATAAGTCCAATTTTCCAAATTTTTGTTACATATTTTTTTTTTCATATCATAAAGTATCTAAGCGTATACACGAACTACTATACTCCCTAAAACGACACTCAGTAATAACTGTGACAAGCAATAGTCTCGCAGGCTTAGTATTGTTCTTGCCCAAATCTTTACGGTCAGTCTTGGTCTTGGTCTTGCTAAAATTAGGCGGTATTGGTCTTGGTCTCGCGAGAATGCAAGAACAAGACCAAGACCGATTTTGGGCAACACTAACTTTAAATTAAGGAAATGATTAAGAACCTTTCTCTGACTCTGTGCCTAATCGTTGTACACTAAGGAAATATCCAATCAACATACAACAGCTAGATAAACAGCCGAGTAGTGGACTAACAAGAAAAAGAAGAGAAAGGCCGTATTATAGCTGGCGAACAACCACAACAAAAGAATATAAAATAATTGGATTAAGTTGCAGAGAAATCAAGAGAAGAGTAAGAAATAGAGAGAATTGTTGAAGACTTGGGGATAATACGATTTCACTTCATCTGTCCTCACTAAAGATCGCTAGTAGCATACTCTGGTAATTATATTTCCTATAATTGCCATAGTAGTTGTTGGCTGCATTCCATAGTTTAAAAAATGTTATAAAACAAGTGTAAAACTTTTAGTGTAATTATGATAATTTATAAAATTAATAAAATTATAAAAATATTCAAAAATTCCAATATTATTAAAATGTTTTCTGTTGTATCTGACCATTTGATGATCAAAAAATTGTAGCAGTCTCTCTTTTTTCTATTTTTAGTGGTTCAGCAACTTAGTGATGGACCTGATGATGAGTTAAATCAGGTCCAAGCCCGAAACCGATCCTGTCAGTTACAATGAAATCCTGTAAGAAAATGTATTTTTTTTATTTTTGCTTTTTGGCCTTTGGAATTGTTCTTACATTAATTTCTAAACAATTCATCATTATCAGGAATGAGTTTAATGTTGAAACGATTTTTTTTCTGCTTTTGTACAGCATACGCCTTTTTCGTCACAGTTGCACTTTCCATGTCTATTATATTATAATAAAATTAATTTGCCTTAAATACACACCTATTTAAAAAAATATATATTTATGTCCGGTCCACCTTGTATAAAACTCCAGTAATTTTATATATTTTATGCCATATCGTAATCTATTACCCATATAATTTAACACCCCGATTCTCTGAGTGTTAAACAAAAGCCAAACACTAGCACCATTCGCTTTGGGCATATTTATGTATCATCGTATAATACCATACTTAATGTGGTTGAAGTAATAGCTTTTGCCTGTGGCGCAATATACTGTCAGGGCTAGTTAAAATTTAGGTGAATATTATTACCATACTTTTACTTTTCTGTCATTAATAAATAAAAGCACTTTATACCAAAATAATTAAAATTAAATATAATGTGTTATAATTGGAGAATTATTTGCCTTCATTGGACTCAAATAATTAAAAAATAAATTTAATTTGAATTCTTTAGTTTTGTGCAGGCTGTCTAGCGTTCCAATGATTAATGAATGCAACCAAAACTGAAATAAATACAAAAAAAAAACAGATGACAAATTCGACTTCAGAATTAAAAGAAATGAGGAAAATATTAAGATATTCAATTATGAAGTTTTTTCTCCCAGTTTAAAGATAACTAGAAAAAACTTATTTATTTGTAAACTGTGATAGCTATTTATCAAACTTTTAAGATTTGTGTTGTGACTGATCATGTCTCCAATATAATTTTGAAATACTGCTGCTGTCAAATAAAAACAAATTTAGAAACTGTAAGGCAGTTTTACTTCCACAAATTAAAAACAGTAATAAATGAGTCCTACTGGTCAACGATCTTTACATCCTGTAATGAAAATTTTCGAAAATTGTCTATCTATATGAAAGGCTATGGTAACAATTCACACCGTTTGGCTAGTAAACTAACGACGCCATCTAGGAATGAAATCTGAACTACCATCATTTGACATTTGAATCATATTTTGTTCTTGAAAGGATGCGTTTAATTAATAACACTGTAGTAACTACATAATAATATAATTAATAATTAATTTTATTAACATTTTTATGGTTGAATTTAATACAAAATAATTTAAAGCTTTATGTTAGTTTAGATTTTAAATCCTAAGCGCCATCTGAACCAACAAATCTGAACTACTGACATTTTAACCTATGAGTTAATCATATTTTATTTTTGATGTCAACTTACTACAAACAAAACGCATTAAAGCCAAACCCTACTAAAATCCAAGTATGTGCATTCCATCTCAACAACAACTGATACTGATAGGCCCAAATATCTTGGAGTGATACTAGACCGGTCACTAACGTATAAATTCCACTGTCAGAGCACAAGACAAAAGGTTTCTACGAGAAACAACCTTCTCCGGAAACTTGTAGGGAGCAAGTGGGGTACAAACCCCCAGGTCTTGAAGTCAACAGCTGAGGCCTTATGTTTTTTTCTTTTTTTTTTTTTTTTTATTAACACATGCGCGGTGTTTGTATACTGCTATCTGGTCACATATGACCAATTATCAGTTATTTTCTGACCTAACATAATAACAGCAAATACTTAAATCTAAGGGTTTACCCTATGGCTTACTCTTATTTTATCTATTAAATAATGCACTACAACTAGCATGCAATAACTTCACAGCACTATACTCTGCTTTTTACACTAAACTGTTACACATTTACACTAGCTCAAATGGTTTTGTCCTTATGAGTCTTCTCTTTAGTTCAGTGTTGTCAAGAAGCTGGATTGCCTCGACATTCACATGACTATGCAGCCTCTGCTCGTGACTTGTTGCTGTTCTCTTGATTATTTCGATCACAGTTTCCATACCCAGGTCCTGGTGGAGGTTGCTGTTACGGATATACCAAGAAGCATCAACAATGTTTCTCAGTACTTAATTTTGAAATCTCTGGATAATAAGTAGATTACTAGCTTTGGTACAGCCCCAGAGTTGGCACCCATATACCCATACTGGCCTCAGTACTTGCTTGTAGATGGATAATTTATTATGAATTGACAATGTTGAATTTTTTCCAATCAGCCAATACAATTTCTTATATCTAATATCAAGCTCCCCTCTTTTCTTTTTGACATGGACTTTCCAGGGCAGCTTCGCGTCTATGGTGATGCCCAAGTATTTTGCTGATGTTGTATAACGAATTCGGGTATCATTTATTCTAACTGGGAAATTTTCTATTTTTTTATTTGTAAAGTTAATGTGTGCAGATTTAGTCTCATTTAATTTTATTTGCCATTTTCTGGTCCAGTTATGTATTTTATTTACTGATAGTTGCAATTTATCAGTCGCTTCTTTACTAGTGTCTCCTATCGCTAGTATGGCTGTATCATCCGCGAAGGTGGCAATAGTATTTTGTTCTAGCTCTGGAATGTCACACGTATACAATAGGTACAGGACCGGACCTAAGACACTTCCTTGTGGCACGCCAGCTTTGATCTCCCTTAAGTCGGTGTACACTTCTTCTTGTTTTACTCTGAAATATCTATTCGCAATGTATGATTCCAAGATTTCTGAATACTGTTTAGGCATGAACGTTCTTAGTTTATAGTTTAAACCGTCATGCCAGACTTTATCAAACGCCTGTGCTACATCCAAGAAGATTGTAGAGCAGACTTTATTTTCTTCTAATGTTTTTTCTATTATATTCGTTATTCTGTGAACTTGATCTATAGTGGAATGTTGATTTCTGAAACCAAATTGATGATTTGGTATAAGATTTTTTCTTTCTATTATTGGTTTTAATCTTTTTAATAGAAGTTTTTCAAATAGTTTTGACATCACCGGAAGGAGGGATATTGGTCGATAGGATGTCACTTCATTAGGAGATTTATCTGGTTTGGCGATCATAATTACTTCGGCTACTTTCCAGAGTCTGGGAACATATCTCAATCTAAAAGCAGCATTTATTAGGTGTGTCAGCTTAACTATGGCTTTTCTTGGTAGATTTTTTAATAATTCTCCTGTTATGAGATCATATCCTGGAGCTTTCTTAGGATTTATATTCTCTTTTATCTCTGTTGATACTTCTCTAAGTGATGTCAATGTTATTCTTTCGTCAGTTTGGAATGGTTCTTCCCATCTCAGTTCTTCACTATCATTGTCGTTGGGTTTGAACGTGCTTTCTAAATGATCTGCAAATCGTTCTGCTTTCTGTTCATTACTTCTAGCGCAGTTGCCGTTTTCCAACTTGATAGGTGGGGAATGAATAATTGGTCTCTTCAATCTTTTTGTTGCCTTCCATAAAGAATAATCTGTGTTCTGGTCAGCTGTTAAATTACTTAAAAAATAATTAATTGTTGAATTTTTTATATTTTGTATCTCCCTTTTTAGTTTTTGTGTAGCATTATTTAGACTAGTTTTGTCTCGTGGAACTCTGTATTGCTGCCATTTTTTTCTTCCTTCCTTCCTTTTTTCTACTATGAGTTCTCTGATTTCTTTTGGATAATTGTTCCCTTTTGTTCTAGGAGTTATTGTGGGAGTATTTTCCCAAGCTGACTGTTGGATATTTTTTATAAAAACTTCTAATTCGTCATCAAGTTGCCTCGTGTTTCTTAATGGAACAGCAAGATTAATTTTGTGTTCAAGGTTTATTTTGAAGCTCTCCCAGTCAGTTTTCTTATTAGTCAATATTGGACTAAACTCTTTTTTAATCACTGTATCACTCATAGTTAGAATTATCGGTGAGTGATCAGAGTTCATGTCCCAGCCGTCATTGATATCCAGATAGTTAGCTGAGATATTTTTGTAAATAAAGAAATCTATCAGGTCTGGAATTTTGTTCCTATCGGTAGGCCAGTATGTTGGTCTACCAGTAGAGATTACTTTACTCTTTTGTTCCTTAACAGCTGACAATAGTTCTTTTCCTTTAGTTGTAGTTAACCTAGAGCCCCAGTGAGTATTTTTTGCATTAAAGTCCTCACCGATGATGTTTTTTTTTTTCCTAAAGTGTTCATAAACTCTTTATATTGCTCTCTTTTAATGGAGTGTCTAGGAGGACAATATATTGAACTTATATTTAAGGTATGTGTTTTCATCTTCACACAGACTATTGTAGCTTGTATGTGCTCAGTTGCATATTTTAATTCCTCATGATGCAAGATGTTATCTTTAATTATAATAGCGCTTCCTCCTTTAGCTGCATTATCTGGGTGTACAGTAGAATATACTCTATACCCCCTAAATTCAACATATGACTGTTTAGTAAAGTGTGTTTCAGAAACGAGACACAGATCAATTTTCTCAATATCTAGTACTGCTTTATGTTTCTTAACAGGAGAATATGCTTGTCCCGTCTGGGATAGATCTAGACACGCCCAAAGTCCCCACCGCGTTAAATGAAACATGTAGAACAATTACCGGTTGTATGAAGCCTACCTCTCTACCCCTACTGTATCGGGTAGCTGGATTCGCATCACCAGATGACCGTAGATGCGCCTCACAATATGTGAAGAAGTTTACGCAAACTTTGGATGAAAGGCACCAATTATATGGGTTTGACAAACCGCCAGGAATCAGCCGACTTAAATCAAGGAAAAGGTTTATGAGAAATGTCAGCGTCGAACCACCCGAACTGTTGCCCTACATTCAGATCGACCTAATGGAATAATCCTGGACTGGAGAACCTGGCGGTCACTCAACTGCATACGCACAGGTGTTGCTTCTGAAAACAGAACCTCATTAAATGGGACATCAATACAGATAGCGACGCACTTTGTGAACGTGGGGAAATACAGAACGTGGAGCACCTGAGAGTATGCAGACTTTGCCCATCACAGTGCACGCTAGATGATTTATGGCTCGCAAATACAAAGGGTGTAGATGTAGCCCGATATTGGGCGGAAGAACTGTAGTCGGATCCAGACACGAAAAAGTTAAGTAAGTTTTGAAACGTTTAATTAATAATAAAAAAATATTACCAATATAATAGTAAACCAATATTATTAATATTTTTAAGGTAAGATTTATTACAAAATAATTTAAAGTTTTACGTTAGTTAAGATTTAAAATTAAATTAAAATTATCTGACATATACAATATAAAATATTTATTTGATAAATAAAGTACTGAGTAAAAAGATCTGGAAAATAAATTGTGTTTATTGTAGTTCGTTATTATGTTGTAGGTTATCGCGAAATTAAAAATATAACCTAAATATTGTTGTTTAAGGTATGTTAGAGAAATGGATATTAAAA